TAGAAGAACACAGTCTGCTGAACATAATACTACACAAACATTAGAAGTTGCCATGGTTTAATTGCACATAACATGTAAACATTCACAGTGCAGGGAGGAAAAAGTATGTGAACCTTTGGACTTAATAACTGGTTGACCCTTCTTTGGCAGCAATAACCTCAACCAAACGTTTCCTGTAGTTGCAGATCAGACCTGCACAACGATCTGGAGTAATTTTGGACCACTCCTCTTCACAAAACTGTTTCAGTGTAGCAATATTCTTGGGATGTCTGGTGTGAATCGCTCTCTCAAGGTCATGCCACAGCATTTCAATCGGGTTGAGGTCAGGACTCTGACTGGGCCACTCCAGAAGGCGTATTCTGTGCTGTTGCAGCCATTGTTTTGTTGAATTACTTGTATGCTTTGGGTCATTGTCCTGTTGCATCACCCATCCTCTGTGGAGCTTCAGTTGGCGGACAGACGGTCGTACGTTTTCCTGCAAAATGTCTTGATAAACTCTGGAATTCATTTTCCCATCGATGACAACAATCCGTCCAGGTCCTGAGGCAGCAAAGCAGCCCCAAACCATGATGCTCCCTCCACCATGTTTTAAAGTGGGGATGAGGTTTTGATGTTGGTGTGCTGTGCCTTTTTTTTCTCCACACATAGTGTTGTGTGTTCTTCCCAAACAACTCAATCTTGGTTTCATCTGTCCACAGTATATTTTGCCATTAGTGCTGTGGAACATCCAGGTGCTCTTTTGCAAACTTCAAACGTGCTGCAATATTCTTTTTGGACAGCAATGGCTTCCTCCGTGGTGTCCTCCCATGTACTCCATTCTTGTTTAATGTTTTCCTTATTGTAGAGGTGTCAACAAAAATGTTAGCATGTGCCAGAGATTTCTGTAGGTCTTTAGCTGACACTCTGGGATTCTTCTTTACCTCATGCAGCATTCTGCGCTGTGCTCTTGCAGTCATTTTTACAGGACGACCACGCCTAGGGAGAGTAGTAACAGTGCTAAACTTTCTCCATTTGTAGATAGTCTGTCTTACCGTGGACACATGAACATCAGGGCTTTTGGAGATACTTATGTAACCCTTTCCAGCTTCATGCAAGTTAACAATTCTTGATCGTAGGTCTTCTAAGAGCTCTTTTCTGCGAGGCATGGTTCACATCAGACAGTGCTTCTTGAAACCAGTAAACCCAAAACAGATGTGTGTTTTTTAAGGGCAGGACAGCTGTCAGCAACACATCCAATATCATCACACTGATTGGAGTCAAGGTTGGCTCACTCCTGGCTCCAATTAGCTCTGGGAGAAGTCATTAAGCTAGGGTCTCACATACTTTTTCCTCCCTGCACTGTGAATGTTTACATGTTATGTGCAATTAAACCATGGCAACATCTAATGTTTGTGTAGTATTATGTTCAGAAGACTGTGTTCTTCTATTGTTGTGACTTAGATGACGTTCAGAGCACATTTTATGCCCAATTCATGCAAAACTCCACGTAATCCCAAGGGGTTCACATACTTTTTCTTGCAACTGTAGGTGAATATTCCATGTATGTTTGTTATATTGATTTTCCACACATCCTGAAAACCCTAGTGCTTGTGGTACATGGCCATAGGTCACAAAAGTAGGAGTCTTTTGCAAGCTGCTTGAGTAAAAATATCAGTTTTTGATTTTTAATTTATTGTTGTCCTTTTCTGACATGATACAATACAAGCTGTAGTTATACCTGCCTGGATCAGCCTTCCAAAAAATAAAAATAAAATATGCCTACTTCCTTAATGGTTTCATTTCTCTGAGTTTTCCACACAGACAGGTCAATCGTGCTCTCAACACCAACAATTGGGGGATGATTTACTAAAGGCAAATAGACTGTCACTTTGTAAAGTGCAGTTGGTCCAGAGTTTAGTAAATGAGGTAAAGCTTCACTTTGCAAATAATACCCAATCACGTGCTATGAACATTAAAAAAACAGCATTTGTGCTTGCACATGATTGGATGATGGAAGTCAGCAGAGTTTCTGCTTATTTACTAAGCTCTGAAGCAACTGCTCTTGCGGAGTGCAACTGCACTTTGCAAAGTTCAGTCTTTTTGCGTTTAGTAAGTTAACCCCATGATGTTGGTGAGGGGTCATGCAGTTAGTATTTATTTGTGAAAACATTTGCTGTACTTTTCTAACATGAAACTCACATTTGCTAGGCACAGAAGTACCAACATCCTAATAGTGCTAATAGCCATCAAACGGCATTCCATAGTTTCTTATCTGATTGGGGAATATTTGGACATCTGTAGGCTCTTCTGTGAATATAGTAGACATTTTCTAGCCAAGTTTTCTTGGGGTCATAAATAATCTGGATTTTTACTGCTTGATTGCTATTGTTCTTTAGCTGTCCCTGAATTTCTAGGACAGTCCCACACCTTGTCCCCATCAGTCCTCCTGATGCTGTTTCCTGGGCCATATTCTGGGCCAAAAAATTGAATCAGCACACCATATTGGAAAATGTATTCATCACCCACAAGGAGAATGTTTCAAGGCCACTGAGGTCCTATTCCTCAGACAGTAGTGATAGACCTCTTCCTCTCTAAAGCCTGAAGAAGAGGTCCTCATGGGCCTAGAAATATTGTTTTTTTGTGGGTGAGGGATAACTGTCCCTTTTTGCATTTTTGAATATGGTGTGCTGGTAATATTACAATTTTTGAACTTCTGCTTTGAAAGCGCCATCCATCTGGTGGATGATGCTATCTCTGGGAGTTTTCTAGCCAAGCTTTGGAAGGTATGTAAATGACCTACACCTATAGCAAGAGCATTTGTCAACTTTTCTCAAAGTTTTTCTTTATCTACACGTGCCCCTTACCTGCATAGGCAGTTTTTTAGTAAAGGTGAACTGACCCTAAGGCGGGATGTCATCTAATGCATGCACACAGGATTTTCCTCTTCCTTCTTAGTGATGCCAGCTTTCTAGTCTATTGACCAAAAAACATCCAACGTACACAGTAAAACTCAATCCAGCCGAGAACACGGGCTCCTTATTGGAAATCTCTACACACCCATTGAAGAACATTGATTAAAGTGGAACTCCAGGAAAAAAAACATTTTCCTTTTCTTTGTTTTTGAAAGAGAAGTAAAATGCAGATATTCCATTTTAATTGCTGTCTGTGTCCCACTCAGAGATATTTCAGATGCCTAATAAACAGGTAAAAGTTGTTTTATTGCTAATGGCAAAAGTGTTCCCCAGAGTAAAAGAGGAACAGGAGGGGGTGTCCCGGGAACAGAAAAGATTATACCTGCACACTAGTATGAATTAAATCTTCTTTTACTAGCAGTAGACAAGTGCTATAAAGGCAGATGGCAGAGCCTGAAGACACAATGTCCTTCTGCATATAGGAATAAAACTATTTATATGGGGACAAACAATACAGTTTGATCATGTAAAAGGTGTTGGTTATGTCAGGAAAAAGTGCGATATAACGTTTTTTTTAAACCAGACCTATCATTTTCATAAAATAGTGTTGGTGCAACAATAGCCATAGCAGCCCATGTGGCTGCTATGGGGCCCAGGGTAGGAGGGCGCCTCAATCAGGGCTGTATTTAATGCGGGGCAAACAGGGCAACTGCCCTGGGCCCAGTCTTTGTTGTGGGGCCCAAAGCAGCTGCCCCTTAAGCCCGCGCTGCCTGCAAATTGGGGCCCCGATGATTGCACTGCAGAGCGCACAGGGTACAAGGGTACATTGGAGAAATCGCTGTATACCCCAGCCAGCAGGGAGGGGGTAGGGCCAGGTCCGGAGCTCCACTGACCCCACCCCATGCAGCCTGTATGCTTGGGAGAGAACCGCTGTAGTAGAAGCTGTGATCAGAGTGGGAACCCTTCCCCTCGACCTCAGAGGATGCTGAGCCCGGCTGGCCAGGTGTGTCCTCCCTCCCCCATAGACTGCCTGTGGACTGTTATAAAAAAAAAAAAAACCTGAGCTTTTTTTCACAAACTGTATATCTGTGCATTGCTGAAAGGTCTCGGTTCATCCCCTGTAATACATTTGTGTTCAAAATAATAGCAGTGTGTTGAGAAAAGTGAATAAAGCTCAAAATCCTTCTAATAGCTTTTATTTCCATCCACACAAATGCATTGGGAACACGACACATTCTATTCCAAATCAAAACATGAAGAAAAATAGATCAAATTTGTGTTGTTCCTCTAAAAAAAATTGTAGAAAAGTGAATATTAGACTGTTCAAAAAAATTGCAGTGTTTGTATTCTTCTTTACAAACTCAAACATTCACTATATAAACTGAAAAATGTTTGAAGATTTTGCTTTCCTTTGAATCACTTAATGAATATTTGGTTGTAGTCGCACTGTTTCTGAGAACTGCTGTACATCTGTGTTGCATGGAGTCACCCAACTTCTGGCCCCTGTGATCAGGTATTCCAATACTAAAGCAATACTAAAGGTTTATTTATTTATTTTTTTTAACCACTTGCCTACAGGGCACTTCTACCCCCTTCCTGTCCAGGCCAATTTCCAGCTTTCTGTGCTGTCACACTTTGAATGACAATCGCGCAGTCATGCAACACTTTACCCATATGAAATTTCTATCATTTTTTTGTTACAGTTAGAGCTTTCTTTTGGTGGTATTTAATCACCTCTGGGTTTTTTATTTTGTCTTAAACAAACCAAAAACCACTGAAAATATTGAAAAAAAAAAAGTTTTTTCTTAGTTTTTGTTATAAAATTTTGTAAATAAGTGATTTTTCCCCTTCACTGATGTGCACTAATGAGGCTGCAGTGATGGGCACCGATAGGCTGCACCGATGGACACTGATAGGTGGCACTGATGGGCACTGATGAGGCACCGGTAGGTGGCACTGATGGGCATTGACAGGCATCACTGATGGGCACTGAAAGACAGCACTCATATATGGCACTGATAGGCAGCACTGACTGACACTGTTAGGCGGCACTGATGCACACTGATAGACTGATTGGCGGCACTGATAGGTGGCACTGATTGGCAGCACTGATATGTGGCACTGACTGGCATTGATAGGTGGCACTGACTGGCACTGATGGGTGACACTGAAAGGCAGCTCAGATGGGCACTGATATGTGGCATTGATGTGCACTGGTAGGCACTGAATTGTGGCACTGATGGGCACTGGCAGGTGGCATGGATGAGCACTGACAGCTGGCACTGATGGATACTGACAGGTGGCACTGCTGGGGACTACACAGATCATCAGGGCACAGTGATCATCAGTGCTCTGATGATCTCTGTACATGTCCCCTCCTAGGAATGCCAATTACCGGCTCTCCTCTCCTCTGTCAGCGTGACAGCTCGTGAGGAGAGAAATGCTGATAACCAGCATTTCCCTGTTTACATGTGATCAGCTGTGATTGGATACAGCTGATCACATGACCGAGCCGACATCTTCGGCTCTTTCCGGTGATCGGTGATCCGCTGTGTCCAAGGTACACGGCGCACCGCCGATCGCCGCGCTCCCCGGAGCTGCGCATGCGCAGTTAGAATGGGAGGACATCATATGACGTCCTCCCAGAACGAGAGAAACCGCCTTGCGCCTGTCATTGTACTATATGGCAGGCGGAAGGCGGTTAAATAACAAACATGTTATACTTACCTGCTCTGTTTAGTGGTTTTGCACAGAGAAGCCTAGATCCTCCTCTTCTCAGGTCCCCTGCAGGCTCTGTTGGCCCCTCCCTCCTGTTGGGTGCCCCCACAGCAAGCAGCTTGCTATGGGGGCACCCACTGCTCCGTGTGTCCATTCACACACAGAGCTGTGGCTTGGCCCCACACCCCCTCTCCTCATTGGCTGACTGGCTGTGATTGCTATCTCAGCCAATGAGGAGGCAGAGGCCTGGACAGCCGAGGCTGTCATGCACATCGCTGGATTGCAGTGGGGCTCAGGTAAGTATTGAGGGGGCTGGGGGGCACTGCTGCACACAGAAGGTTTTTTTTTCCTTCATGCAGCCTTTACAACCACTTTAATGTAAGCAATCCAAATTGTTGGTCTTTTTCCTTTTATAGGGTAAAAAAAATAGTGGTTATTAAATACTGTACCACCTAAAGAAAGCACGATCCGTCTCAAATAATTATATAACATTCATTTAGTGTTGCCTGAATAAGTAATTGTCAGTCAAACTATCACAGCAATGAAAAAGTTTATACACTCATGTGGTCAACATGTTATTCCAGTGGTGAGCTGGACTTTCACCAGTTTTGAGCCATGGGCAAGCATAAACCAACCTGGAGCAGTAACAGTTGTTTTTGTTTGTATAATAAAACAATCATTTTTGAGTTGCATGAGATACTAAGGTTACATAACACTTTAAGTATACTGTCCCTTTAAACCACTTAACCCAAGTCTATTTGCAATGGTAAATACATTTGGGTTCATCGCTGTTATGATCCAGCAAAATCTCTTCCATTTGTATCCACCACAGCGCACTTCTGGACGTATTGAGGTCAGCAGATTTTCTATGGTGTGTGCTGCTGTTGGCTCAGCAAGTCTCTGTGTTCGAAGGATTACTTCATATTGCTCGCAGAGCAGCTCATCAGCAAACCATGGATGAATCAATTCTGCTTTAGCCGAGTTAAAAGCTCCGCTTTCCCTTCTCATGGCCAGTGTGATGTTTGTGAAAACTTTTCCAAGCTGAGAGAAGATGTGCTTACAGCCCCGCTGGTATCTGACGCCGCTTCCTCCAAGCCAAAGCTAAACTGTGGCCTCTCATTGAACTGAGCGTAATTCAGGAGGGCGGTAGATGATGTTCACAGAACGTTCAATGTTGAGAACAAAGTGCTGTTAGCAACCAATGTAGAGGTATACAGTTTTATGGGGAGGACTAAATAAAGCAACACATAACTATATACTTTACATCAGTCCTAAGACGAAAGCAGCATGGTGGCTTAGTAGTTGGTGCTCCAACCTTCTAGCATTAGGGTCCTCATTTCAAATTACAGCCAGGAAGCTACCTGTATGGACTTGGCATGTTCTCCTTGTGCTTGCATGGGTTTCATCTAGATACTCCCCACACACCAAAGACATGCTGGTAGGTTAAAAATAAACATTCAAGCGAGCGCTTCTTAAAATAAAGATACAAGCAGCTTGCATAAGGTAAACCCTCTAAATCCTTACAAACATATAGATCAAAGATGCAGTGCTAAAACACTCATGAATATCAATATATCTCACATAAATATAAAATGCAAAGTGACAGGTGATAATAAACAAATCAGAGGGCTGAGGATGAGTGCAATAAAGTGGCAAATAGTGTGTTGTCTTAAATTAGACTAATAACAGTAAAGCAAACGCATATTATAAACGTATAGCAGTCCAAAAAGAGACAACTTTTTCTTATAAGTGCCTAAAACATCCAGTGTCTGCGGACAATGGTTGCTTCTCACTGGAGTTGCATTAATAAGGTGCTCGTGACATCTGTGGATAAGAAAAGAGGTGTGCTTGCACTCACCAGATGCACAATTTAATTGCGCATGTACAGTGGGGCAAAAAAGTATTTAGTCAGCCACCAATTGTGCAAGTTCTCCCACTTAAAAAGATGAGAGAGGCCTGTAATTGGCATCATAGGTAGACCTCAACTATGAGAGACAAAATGAAAAACAAATCACATTGGCTGATTTTGGAAAGAATTTATTTGCAAATTATGGTGGAAAATAAGTATTTGGTCACCTACAAACAAGCAAGATTTCTAGCTCTCACAGACCTGTACCTTCTTCTTTAAGAGGCTCCTCTGTCCTGCACTCTTTACCTGTATCAATGGCACCTGTTTGAACTTGTTATCAGTATAAAAGACACCTGTCCACAACCTCAAACAGTCACACTCCAAACTCCACTATGGTGAAGAACAAAGAGCTGTGAAGGACACCAGAAACAAAATTGTAGACCTGCACCAGGCTGGGAAGACTGAATCTGCAATAGGCAAGCAGCTTGGTGTGAACAAATCAACTGTGGGAGCAATAATTAGAAAATGGAAGACATACAAGACCACTGATAATCTCCCTCGATCTGGGGCTCCACGCAAGATCTCACCCCGTGGGGTGGAAATGATCACAAGAACGGTGAGCAAAAATCCCAGGACCACACGGGGGGACCTAGTAAATGACCTGCAGAAAGCTGGGACCAACGTAACAAAGGCTACCATCAGTAAAACTACGTCGCCAGGGACTCAGATCCTGCAGTGCCAGACGTGTCCCCCTGCTTAAGCCAGTACATGTCCGGGCCCGTCTGAAGTTTGCTGGAGAGCATTTGGATGATCCAGAAGAGGATTGGGAGAATGTCATATGGTCAGATGAAACCAAAATAGAACTGTTTGGTAGAAACACAACTCGTTGTGTTTGGAGGAGAGAGAATGCTGAGTTGCATCCAAAGAACACCATACCTACTGTGAAGCATGAGGATGGCAACATCATGCTTTGGGGCTGTTTCTCTGCAAAGGGACCAGGACAACTGATCCATGTACAGGACAGAATGAATGGGGCCATGTATCGTGAGATTTTGAGTGCAAACCTCCTTCCATCAGCAAGGGCATTGAAGATGAAACGTGGCTGGGTCTTCCAACATGACAATGATCCCAAACATACCGCCCGGGCAACGAAGGAGTGGCTTCGTAAGAAGCATTTCAAGGTCCTGGAGTGGCCTAGCCAGTCTCCAGATCTCAACCGCATAGAAAACCTTTGGAGGGAGTTGAAAGTCCGTGTTGCCCAGCGACAGTCCCAAACATCACTGCTGTAGAGGAGATCTGCATGGAGGAATGGGCCAACATACCAGCAACAGTGGTTGCCAACCTTGTGAAGACTTACAGGAAACGTTTGACCTCTGTCATTGCCAACAAAGGATATATAACAAAGTATTGAGATGAACTTTTGATATTGACCAAATACTCAATTCTTTCCAAATCAGCCAATGTGATTGTCTGGATTTGTTTTCTCATTTTGTCTCTCATAGTTGAGGTCTACCTATGATGACAATTACAGGCCTCTCTCATCTTTTTAAGTGGGAGAACTTGCACAATTGGTGGTTGACTAAATACTTTTTTGCCCCACTGTATATGACACTCAGAGGGGCACAAGTGGTCATCTAGGAACCGGTAAGGATGAGGCGCTTCTCAGGCACTTAGTATGCCTTGGGAATGGACTCCAGACCTCTCAGTGGGACCCTCACAGCAAACTGGGACAGCTCCCTGGTTTCACTTAGACCCGGCTTCCAATCAGGTCAGCACCAATGGATATCCACCTTTTAAGCAGCTTACAGTTCACCATCTTGCGCTACCGGCCTTTTCTTGCAGCAAGTTGTGGTTCTACAAAAAGGTTTAAAAAGCTAGAGTTTAAAGCCCAACTCCAGGAATGTTTTGCCTAGGGGGAGGAGAAACACTTTTTCTAACCCAAGCCTCCGCTTCTCTGGCAGATGACTCTCTCATGCTAAGATGATGGACTGTCCCTTGGCGCCATCAAGTCAAGCAAAGGGATATGGACAGGGCTGGTGCAGGGATTTTTCTCTACACAAGCAAAGGTGCATTTTCCTGACCGCTCTCTCCTCCACTGTCCTCCCACCACCCCCCTCCTCTGCAAAATGCAACCCTTCACCCCATCTACCCATGTCCCCGCTCTCTCCCCATTTCCCACACGCGCTAAACACATGGTCCCACAGCACCATGCAGTTCAGTAATGTGCACAAAAAAAATTGGAAAGCTTTTTCTCACGAGTAAGGCAGCCCATTTACGAATATGAATATACTGCCCTATACATGATGTGCGTGCACAAATGGTCCTGCACATATGTGAACTGGACCTAGGTTCTATGATCAGTTGAAGGTTGTAATTTTGTTGCATTTAACAGCCCAGTACTGAGACTGCTAATCTCATTCTGAAGATGCTAATCGCCTTTTCTTGGCAGCTTTCCATGACTGCTACCACCATATGTCATACGTAGGTGGCAGCAGGGGTTTAACGGTACAAGCCAACTGTTAGTTCTCTAAACAAAGTGATTGGGTTGCTATATAGCCACCTAATTGCCTTCACTAGCCCTTAAAATGGTGTCCCCCTTTCTGCTTCCTGGGCTTTGCTGTCCTACCCACGGGCCTGTGACCCGTATGGCGGGTGTCACCGGGTGGAGGGTAAAGATGCCATCTATTTTCTGATCTTCTCTAGCTGCAAAGAAACTGGAAGCGATGTGTATAAAGTGACTTCTGCATTCTTTTGACACTTCTGGACACTTGACACTTGAGCACGAACTGAGCTCCATTAGCTTCAATGGAAGGCAAGTAAGATGTCAGGGGTCCTTTAGACCCCTGATGTCTCATTAAAAATTTCTCAAAAAATGTATATCACATAAAAGATTTTTGTCCCTATTTGATAAAAATAAAGTTTTAGTGAAAAAAAAAGTGTAAAAAAATAGAGTTTAACCAAAACGCTTAGAAGCCCCCTCCCTACCCAAAAATATTTT